TCCCACCAGGGTCTCCAAGGACCCCTCCGCAGGATGTGTCATCTGGGACGCATTTTGGAGCCAGCTGAGGCTCCCGCTGYGTCGCACAGCTAGTTGCTCCCTGGGGGACGGAGTCCGGATCTGGTCTGCCTCAACCCCGCTGCGCTCCTAGACCCTGCCAAAGTCCCCTGCATGGTGCACACACCACATTCGCAGCCGGGCCCTGCCGAGCGCGTCGCCTTCGTCTTGCCTCCAGCCCATTGTGTTGTTTATTCGTTATGGTYGGGCTTTAATGAGGCCGTTGGAGCCGTTTGGGGCCAGGGCTGTTTCTCCCCGTGTGACCGCGCAGTTCCCGCGCGCAGAGGCTGTGATGTGGTTCGGGGCCTGCAGCAGCATCTGCTCTTGCAGCAACGATGCCCAGGGCTGAATGCGTTTCAGATGGGCTCGGATCTCGTTTCCGTGCTCAGGCCGGCGGCCAATTTGAGCCGGTGAGCAAGAGCCGTGGTCCAGCCTGTGAACGCAATGTTCCCTCTTCAGAGAGCTGCTAATACCCAGCTCAGGGTACCTTAAAGAGCCGGGACCCCACCGCAGAGCTCGCCAGGGGCAAACTGAGCAGCGTGCTTTCGTGGGGGTCTGCTCTGGGGCAGCKTTGCCAGCAGGGCATTGCAGATGCCCCTGTGGTGCCACTGGGCACCAGGTTCACCTTTGTGCTCACCGCAGCCCCAGTGCAGACCTGGTCCAGGGTGAGGAGGAAGATGCAAGGCCAGTGTGTGTCTGTATAGTTACTTTGTGGGGAACGGAAAGGTCCACAATGCAGCCCCGGGCTGGCTGCATGGGGAGAGAGCGGGGAGGTGCTGGTGCTGCCACAAGCCCCGGGTGCTGCCAAGGCAGCCCGGCCGCGGCGGGGTGCTGGGTGCAGGTGCCTGCGCTCAGCGGCACCCCGTACTGCTGGCGGGTGCATGCAGGGCGCCGGGCGGGTGAGTGGCACAGGGTGCAGGGCGATGCAGCCCGCACTCAGCGGCGTGCAGCGTTATGGGTGCGTGCATGCAGGTGCTGGGTGGGTGAGCGGTGCAGGACGGTGCAGCCCATGCTTAGCCACGCACGGTGCTACGACTGCAGGCACGAGGCAGGTGAACGCCGCGGGGTGCGGGATATGGCAGCCCCAGCGGTGCCCAGGGCTATGGGTGCGTGCGTGCAGGCACCAGGCGGGCGCAGGGTACCCCCTGCACCTGCAGCTCGCACAGAGCGAGTCCGGTCTCGCCAGGGGCCTGGGGCAGCGGTGCGGCCCCGGCCGGCCGGGTTAGGCGAGAGTCAGTGAGCACATGATGCAGCCCGCGGGGCCGCGGGCTGAGGTCAGTTAGTCACACCCAGGCAACAGCACTGACTTCACCGCGGGCAGGAGCAGCTCCGCACGTCCCGCGCTCCCCCAAGGCAGGGCAGGAGCGCTGCTGGGCGCCTGGGGGACGGCGCGCCGCTGCACCCGCACCGCRCTGCTTATCGGTGCGAAGGCATTATCCTGATGAGGATGGACGGCTCCCTCGGGTCCTGCTGGCTCCTGTGCCTGCCAAAATAGTTTAATCCGTTTTAGTGGCCAAAATGCGACCGCTAATCAGGTGCTGCTGGTCCCTATGGAGAACAGTACAGCACCCTGTTCTCCCTGGTGCTGCATGGGCCCTGCGGCCCGCTCCTAGCGCTGGCCCTCTTTTCCAAAACGCCAGCTGGGTGGGATCCGACAGTTGTTGATGTCATTGGAAGCTGTTTCCATCCCTGCTGGAGCTCGGGACGTCCGCGGAGCGCCAGGCAACATGGTCCCAGCTTGGAGGCCTGAGGCACCCGTAGGGAATGTGCCACCAGCCCTGAGAGTGGCCTGTGTGGGCGACGAGTAGCCTGGACACCTGGAGGACTTCAGCTGGGGAGGGGCAGGGCACTTTGCTCAGCTTTGCTCCTGGTAGCCAGCACTTTGGCAGGAACTGTGCTTTTCAGGGAGAAGAAAGGGTTAATCGCCCGGGCGGCCACTAATGAGCCTTAACTGAGAATGACCCAGCAGCGGGAGAAGTGAACCCATCGTCCTCTCTTGGCGTTTGACCGTCTTCCAGTGCAAATCATGAAACGCTGAGCCCGGGCGTGAGTTCCCTGCTTGTGTCAGGAGGCTCTGATTTATTCTATTTATTTATTTTTGCCATCTGCTCACGGAGAGCTGTTAGGAGCGAGCGTGAGAAATCCAGATGTGCCGCGGCGCTCGCTGCTGCGCGAGTGCCGCGAGCCGCGGGCTCCGAGCGGCGCCCTGCAGCACGCTCGCCTTTAGCCGCCGACGCCGGCGACGTGCTCCCGCTCCCAGAGCTGCCTCCCAGGCCCGGAGCGCCGGCTGGCTGCCCCGGGGGAGCGCGTCGGGTTGGATGTGACCAGGGCTGGCACAGGGCTGGTGGCTCCCACGGCCTGCACAGTGCAGAGCTCCTGCTGCCAGGGCTGTAAGCAGCTCAACCGCTCCCCGCAGCAAGAAGGCCCCCGTGGCCCTGCTCCAGCGGCTGCCTGTGCTCGCCGTCACTGGGACGCACCGCAGGACGGGCCGGCAGAGTCTGCCCAGGCGCCATGGGTGTCCCTGTGCACCCACTTCGGCTCTCCGTCCATGTGTCCTCTCCTGGTGCCATGCTGGTCTCTGTTGGCCGCCGGGACCGTGCTGCAGGGTGCCAGCAAAGGCAGGGGTGAAGCGCATCCTTCCCTGGCCACAGCAGCACCAGCACCGTGCTGCGCCCCGCGACAAGCTGCTGCCACCAGAGCTGCCACGGCCAAAGCGGCAGCCAGGCCAAGACTGGGCCAAGCAGCCTGCTCGGGATATGGTCCCTCCAGCAAACGGGGGGCTTATTTCTTATTTAATTATTTATTTTTCCCAACTTTTTTTTTTTTTTTTTGCCAGGGCTCCTCCGAGACATGGGAGATGATGATCACACAGGATCTTAGCTCATCCGCTCGCTGTCTCATGCCTGGGAGGCTTGGCGGCAGGCCCGAGGGCTCCGGAGGAGGAGGAGGAGGAGGAAAATTTCATCATCCCGCTCTGGCGTCTCGGATAATCGGCCCCTTGTTAACCGCTGCGTCCCCACGCGAGGCGCCTGTGAGGGCCCGTGCTGCCTGCTGCCCGTTAGGTGGTCTTGGCCCGGCCTGAGCTCCTGCCGGCCTCTCCCAGGGCTGCTTGGGAGGCTGGGAAGTGGCTGGGATTTTATCTGCGCTCCCCGCCATTCCCTTCCCACCAGGAGCAGGGGTTTTCCAGCGCCTCTGGACTCCTCTGCACTGCGCTTTTGGCCCCGATGGCCTTCGTGGAGGGAGCGCTGCACCAACTGCTCCCTGCTCYGCTCGCACGCAACCTCGCTGGACTCCCGGCAGCTCCCGCTCCAGCCTCAGCACAGAGACAGATTTAACTGTTCCCGGGATGGACGATTTTCTGGCGGTGGGACAGTTGCTGGCACAAGCTGTGCCCAGCTGCAGGAAGGTGTTCACGGACCGGGATGGAGCTCAGCGCTGACGGGGTTCAGGGTTTGGGTGATGGGGACCGCGGCTGGCACTTGCTATCCCCAGCAAAGAAAAGCCCAAGACTGTCTCCGTGTGTTTCTCTTTCTGTGTGTTTATTTTTTTTTTTTTTTTTGTAAAAAGAAGTATAAAAAAATAAATACTTAAATAGAATTCTCTCTATATATTACCACAATCTTATTAATTAATTATTATTATTATTATATTAATAACATTATTAAACCCCAGGTCAGAGAGCACTGGTGGGCACCCTGGTTTTCCACTCGCGCCTGCGCGCCAGCACCAGCCTCCCCAAGCAAATAAATAAGCACCCGCAGTCCAGCCCRCACCCGTGCACGTCACCCAGCCCCGCGACCAGCCCCTTGCCGTGCCGCAGTGCAGGGCGAGGAAGAGGAGGAGGGCTCCGTCCATCCGGAGGACCCAGCCACCACGCGCAGCAGCAGCTCCGAGAGCTCCGGTACTGCTGGCGCTTGGAGCTGCGCTCGTCCCACACCGCCGCAGTCCAGCAGAATGGGACGGCGCTACATTCAAAGGTCCCGAGAGCACTTTTGAGRAGAAAAAGGCACTTTTCCGAGCCCCATGGGCTCGGTTGTGGTACCCCACAGGTTCTCTTGGCTGCAGGAGCTGTGCTGGAGGCAGCCAACGCCAGAGGACAGGACCCAGCTGCGTATGAGCGATGGCAAGACCGGGAGTCCGTGGCCTCACCCCGAGTGCCTCCACTGCCCACTCCCATCTGGCCACTTGGCTGGGGGGAGTCCCGTCCGCGCAGCAGAGCCGGGCTCTCTCTCCTGGCCCGGGCAGGCCGGAGCCACGTGGTTGGGCGGGCAGAGCCTTGGCGCCACACCACGCCGGCAGCCGCGGTGCGCGGTGCCCCGAGGAGGCCGTTGCTCGCACGCAACGGCCGAATCAGGGGGCTTTCGTGACTTGCCCCCTGCTCTGCTGAAGGTGGTACAGAGACATTCTCGGCACCGAACACCTCKCGCAGCTGAGGATGACGCTTGCCATTTCTTCCGCTTTTAACAACATTTGCAAGACCCCAGAGTGGCTTGCAAAGTGGAGGGTCTGACCATCCTCCTACCGGCATGAGGGACATGACAGCTCCAAGGGGACGGGCAGGGCCACTCTGCAGATACTGGTCTGTCCAGCTTGGCACTCATCACCCTCACTGCAACTGCCCCCCTGGAGCATCAAATAAATTAAAGTGCAGGGCAGGGGTGGACAGGAGAGCAGGAGGAGGTAATAAATAAGAAGGCGAGAGGACTGTTGGCAGGGAAGGTCCTTCTGGGGCCGGATGATACAGTGGTGGCCCCACGGTGAGCCAAGGGCTAGTGGGGATGCAGGGATGACACGTCCCCATCCTGTTGTCCGTTGTTCTCCCGTCAGGCGCCAGCGCCGAAATCTCCCTTGAAGGGATCTTGGCTCATCCGTCCTTTTGGAATGGAATCCTCTTGCAGCTTTCTGGGCTCAGCAGCAGGCAAGAGGTGCCGTGAGCCAGGCACTCACGCAGGGCTCAGGTGAGGTAAGAGGATGCGAGCTGCATGGGAGATGACCTGCACGTACTTGCGAAGCACCTGGCAGCCTTGCTGCTTCTTCTTGAAGGCACTCTTACCCTTGCTGCTCTCCCCGTATCTCACATCCACCTGGAAGATGTTGTAGTTTTTGCAGAGTAGGCAAGTGAGGTTGGAGATGAGGCCCCGCGTGGTCTTGGTGGTGTTGTGGAGGCGGTCAAGAAGCTCCTTGGCTGTAGGGTTGAGCTCCTCCTGGTCTCGTGTGATGTTCCCCAACGAGGCGTTGAGGAAAGCGAAGAGCTTGTACATGGCCACCATGACCTCCTTCTCACTTGTCCGGTTCTCATGGAAGTCAGGGAAGTAGATACCATTGGGGTTGCAGAGCTTGTCGGTCTCGCTGCTGAAAGGTTCTCCCTGGCACTTCAGCTGGAGGGACAGGCGCATGTCACCAGGGGTGCTGGCCGCCCGCCCTGACCCCGTCCCCCAGGTTGCCGCCCCATTGCACCTCCTGCCCCTGATGCTGCCCCAGCTTGGGCACCCTCCTCTTAACCACCTGCAAGTGTTGCAGTGGGCTTGTGCTGCCGCTCCGCAGCTTCARCCTTGGGGATGTCCCTGGCACATCCCTCTCGCTCCAGGACCCACCACCGCCTTCTTTAATGGCTTTTCCCTCCATGTTCCCATGGCAGGCCCGCTTTCAGCCTGCTCCAGGCGCCGAAGCAGTGAGAGGCACTTACATAGAGGCTGAAGAGATCCTGGGCCGTGGCGTTGAGCAGCGCAACCTGCTTGCGCGTCTGCTCGTAGACGTTGGAGCGGCATAAGCTGTTGATGGGGCAGCCGGCGCTGGGGCCGTTCACCAGCAAAGCCCGGCCAGCCACCAGCCTCCGTTGCAGCAGGAGCAGGGCCACGAAGGGGAAGACACCTGGGCACAGGGAAAGAAAAAGAGCAGAGGGTCAGARGATCCCCGGCACGGTGCCCGTGCTTGTGTCAGATGCCACCCGGATCTTGGCCAGCTCTGAGCACCTCGGATGGGCGCCCGCCAGGCTGGGCTTCGCCTGGAGCCTCTGCTCTCTGCTTTGCTCTTCCTCTTTTCCTGGAGAAAATGCTCCCAGCTGCCTGGTGCTCCCATGCCTGCCGCCCAGGCTGCCAGCTCCGCTCAGCCCCACTTCCTCACCTGCMGGCGGGCCAGCCCCACTCCCGGCAGGAATTTCCCTGCCCTCCTTCCCGGTGGGGCTCCTGCTGGCATTCCCACATTGCGCAAGGGCCCGGTGACGGCTTGTCAGATTTAATCGAATATGCAAAGCGATTTCCTCCCCGTTATCCTCGAACGGGCACTGCAGGAGCGGGGCCCCACCCCAGCCCTGGCACCCGCTGACTCAGCCAGGTGCCAGCCAGGAAACCTGTGCCGGGGCTTTTGCTTTCGTCCCCGGCCGGGTGCAGGGGCCTGGAGAAGGCCATGCCTCTGTCTCCCCATCTGCAAGCTCAGCGCGGCGGTTGCTTGCCAAGGAGCCCCGGGAAGAGCCAGCACAGCTGCCGGCGCCGCAAGCCAGGAAATCCCTGGCCTCCGAACAAGCGCTCCGTTGAGCGCCGGGCTGGGAGCAGCTGGGTCACCCCGGCCCGGCCGGCCGTCCCCAGGGGCTCCTGCACCAGCAGGGCCAGAGGGAAGCGCCACCCCCCAAAACCTGCAGCCCCACAGGCACCCTGATCCGGCATCCCCAGTGCTGYGGCAGCGGCCGCAACCTCAGCGCTCAGCCCTGCCCGCGGGCACCTCGCACCTGYGCGCGGCGGGGAACCTCGCGCCACGCTGCCGCCCGGAGCAGCCCCACTGCAGGGCAAGGCAGCTGCGGAGCAAGCGTGCCGGGAAGCACCTGGAGCCCAGCAAGTGTCGCAGCCGCTTGGATCCRCGCTCTGCCCCAGTGCCACCAGCAGCCCAGCAGAGCAGCCAGGTGACCCTGCGGCGCCCCGTGCCAGCTCCGCCGCCCCGCGCTCCCACGGGTGCTGAAATTGTCAGCACATGTATGAGCCTCCACGTTGCCGCCGGTCCCAGGGAACACAATAACCGCTTTATTTACCCTTGCTGCAGCAACGCCCGTGCCCAGCCAGGGAAGGACTTACCTGGTTGTGTTGCAATCGCGTGCCCGAAGCTGCCCGCGCCCGGGAGCGCGGCAGCCAGCACGGACAGGGCAGGCGGCGGCCGCGGGGCCCCCCGTTTCCTAGCCGTGCAGCCAGGCCTGGCGGTGCGCGCGGCCTCGAGCCCGCGGTGCTGCCCCGGCACGCGCGCCCATCTCGGCGCCGGGCAGAGCGAGGCTGCGGAGAGCCCACGTGCGCCCGCGGCCGCTGCCCCACGGTGACGGCCCCGCGCCGCGCTCCGAGCGGCTCCATCCAAAGCCCTGGCTGCACTTGGCAGCTTCCTCATTTCTGGGATTTCTTAGTTGCCTCTAATTAAGCCTGAATCGCCTGCGTTTCGCAGTATCCAGAGACCCAACAGGAGCAAAAAGAAAAAAAAGAAGTGGGGGGAGGAAAAAAAAAAAAAGCAGCAAGATTCCCCCCCCCACACCCTTTTTGGAAGTCTTTCGAGTTATATAAGTGTCCAGATGTTGGCTGCAACGCRCCAGAAAGGCATTTGGAGCTGCCTCCTGCCAATTCCCAGGGATGCTAACCCTGAGGAAGAGCAGCGTTCCGGGAGGCTTCGCTTCGGGCGGCGAGCAGGCGGCGGCCGCTGGAGCCGGAGCGCGCGCGTGTTCCTTTGCAACGTGCCCCAAGTTGGAAAACGGCGGCGGGGCGGGGGGGAGGAAGGGAAAAAGGGAGCCGGAGGGGAGGAGGAGGAGGGCGAAATAGGTTCAATAAAGATTTTTTTTTTACCTGCCGGCATGAACTTCATTGTGAGCTGTGTCCCGGGAGCAACTTTACTAGAGATTGAGGCTGGCAGGAGAGGTTTTCAGAAATTCATGTTCATACTGGGGGACTCCTCTTGGTTTATATACCGGTCCTCCAGTGAGCCTGTGTTGTAAGAAAGGGGAGGAGGGGGGGGGCCGGGGGGAGAAACAGAGAAACACTATCATTACTTGCATTGAAACTGTAAATCAGGAAGTAAAAGGGCTTGGAAATCGTGAATGATTCTTAGAAATAAACTTCTGATAAAGTTGATGTCACCGGGATTGTGGTTTTTTCACGCACAGGGCTGCCGGGGGTGGGGGGAATTTAAAAAAAAAAAAAAAAAAAAAGGGAAAACAAAAGAAAAAAAACCCAACCATGTCAGAAAACTCCTCACTTTTTTTTTTTTTTCCTTTCTTTTTTTTGCAGCTCGACCTCCGGGCGTCCGGGGGGGGCGGTGCATGGTGGTGGGGAGCGGGGGGGACATAGGGATGGGGATGGCTGCTCCGTGCTGGGTGCTCACGCCCTGACTCATGTTCCTGACAGCACTTTCACCCTGTCTCTGTCCCGGGGTGTCCCGTCCGCCCTTCAACCCAGTGAATAAAAAAATAAAACTTTTTTTTTTTTTTAATAAATTCCCCTCAAAGAGGCAGGAGGCACTGGTGGGGTTCCCACCCCATGTGGGGAGGCGGCAAAGGCTGCTCCCATGTCCCCACCATGCAGCGGAGTGACAGGACAGGCTCAGCACACTTGGGACCCCAGGCTGCAGGTTCTAGTTTTGGGGTCCTAGGGCGCTTTGCCTCCACGCAGAACTGCCATTTGGGCAGGGAAGAGAAGAGAAGAGAAGAGAAGAGAAGAGAAGAGAAGAGAAGAG